ACACAGATAAAAATACCCGGTGAAAGATGGGCCTGGTCATTAGTGGCGCAGCCTGGCATGTGACATGGCAGCATTTCAGAGGTGATTTATGATTATTACTACAGCTAACCTATACCTCTCCCTTTCCTGCCCCCACCCTCCACCATCCCAAATTGGTTTGCCAAATGGAATTGCACATGGGGTTTATTTCAGGGGCCGAGTGCACAGAAAAAATGCCTTCTGGCATTTTAGACTTTGGCCAAGTGCCGCAGTTGGGTTTCAGATTTTACCACAATACTGAAAGAAAAGCGATATTAAATTAATCTGGTAATTAAGATGGTGGTGCAGGAATCAATGTCAATGCATGCTTCTGCATGCTTCTGTCAGCAAGACAAAGATGCAAGGCTTCTTTTTTATGAACACATTAAAATGGTAGTGAATACAGAAAAACTTATTGCTCTAAGTGTCAATCAATCAGGCAGTCAATCAAATAATAATTAATTCAATACAAATGTTAAATGAAGACGCTGTGCTGGGTTGGGGTTGGGGGGGTAATGAGCTCATTGTAGGCTGCTGCCGTCCCTAATTGCCAGAGCGAGCTGCCACAGGGAGGAACAAAGGAAGCATTTAACACATCGTAAATTCCTGTAATGTCCTGCTGAGGAGCTGCCGCTCCAGTTACACTTGCAGCTTTTTGTTGCTGACTGTTTATTAGTGTCAGGTGACAGAAAGAGACAAACATAATACAGTAAAAGACTGTTAAAGCAAAAATATTGATTAGGACTTTTCTGCATGTTCAGAGTTTCTTTGTTTGTTGCCTCCTGTACTCACTGCAGTCAGTTTTGTTTATATCTCTTTATTTTTCAGTGGGTGAAAAGGCCTTTTGGGGCAGACAGTGGTTTAGTCTCAGGTGCATTAACCTTCATGTAGCAAGCGAAGCTGTTTCAATTTCACATTAAGACATTAAACTTTTAAAACTTGACATACTCTTTTACAGAATTATTGCAGGCATTTACATGCAACCCCTTTCAGACATAAGTGGAGCTATTTATCATGTAAAGAACATGACTGATGTTTTCTTCCCTTCACTTGAAATAGTCCAGATTTAGACTTGTATAGTGTTTCTTCTGTTCCACAGTTGAGAAAGCGGTGCAGCTGAACACTTTTAATACACACAAATACAGCACTTCTCTCCATGAGTGTGCATAGTAGTGCTTCAGTGTCTCGCTGAATTCCTTCCCAGTCTTTTGTCCCTCAAGGCAAATGATGGAGCATATGCCTCATTCTGTGAGATGGTGATCAAGTGTGTGTGAGCAGTTGGGGGAGGAGACGGAAACAGAGACAGAGAGAGAGTGTGATTTTGTCCCACACTGAGTGTCCTAAGAGACTCCTCACTTGTGTGGAAGCATGATACAATACGGCAGTATGTGTGTTCCACAAATGAACACAAGTTGTACTGCATGTGTGTGTGTGTGTATTTGAGGGGGGAGGGGTATCAGGCCAACAAAATTAGTTTACCATCAGCTGTGCTCTGGCTCTCATTCGGTCCCAGCCTCTGTCCAGTATTTCTTCCAGCTCCCTCCACCTAATGGCGGCTCAGGGCGGTTTTACTGCGCCACCCTGGGGAGGCTACTGTGGCCAGATCCAGAACACTTGGCTTTATGTGGATTGAATGTTTTATGGTTATGGACATAATATTTAAGTATAGGAACAGTCTCACAAGAATCCACCCCCGCACCACTATCCCCAGCCCTAATAATTACACCAGAGTAGGAAAGGTAAGTGGGAAAAGTCTGTATATGTAGGGGAGCCATTATCATGAAGTTATGTAACTTATCTTATCCTGTTAAATGTTTCCTCTGTGAGAGGGCAGACTGTCATGTTTTACACACTGACACCAAACCATATCAAACCAAAAATGATTGAATTTCTTATTTTTACCACAAACTACTTCTCTGAATGCTGTCTGAACTACTATATCAGTTTTAAACTCTATACCACACAAATAAAAAAGGATTAAATGCTGTTCTTTTCTTGAGGAAACTGTCAAATCTAGAAGTTATAGAAGTCAAGTTTGCATGAGAAAAAGAAAAAACTGAAAGAGGAGGTAAAGAGTAGCCACATTAGTTGCCCACATGGCGGTATGGGCTCTCATGTTGAAACAGTTAGCCTTTGATAGCTATTGCTGCAGCGGTCAAGGGGCAAATCACTTGTGATTTTCACTGCTGTGAATTTGATGTACAGTGGAGGAAAAAAGTATTTGACCCCTTGCTGATTTTGCAGGTTTGCCCACTTACAAAGAATGCAACGATCTATAATTTTAATCATATGTACATTCTAACAGTGAAAGACAGAATCCCAAAGAAAATTCCAGAAAATCACATCATATGAATTTATAAAAACTGATAACCATCTGATGAGGAAAAACAAGTATTTGACCCCCTACCAAACAGCAAGTATTCTGGCTCCTACAAGCCAGTTAGTCTTTCTTTAAGACACAGCCCCAATCCCAACCAATTATCTACATCAAATACACCTGCCTCACCTCGTTACCTGTATAAAAGACACCTGTCAACACCCAAACAACCAGCATCCAACATCACCACCATGGGCAAGACCAAGAGCTTTCTACGGACATCAGGGACAAGATTGTTGATCTGCACAAGGCTGGGATGGGCTACAAGAGAATCGGAAAGCAACTTGGAGAGAAAAGATCAACTGTCGGTGCAGTTATCAGGAAATGGAAGAAGCACCACACCACCGCCAACCTCCCTCGGTCTGGGCCTCCACACAAGATCTCGCCTCGTGGGGTGTCCCTGATCATGCGAACGGTGAGGAATCATCCCAAAACCACAAGGGGGAACTGATGAATCAACTGAAGGCAGCAGGGACCACAGTTACAAAAGAAACGGTTGGTAACACACTACGCCGTCATGGATTGAAATCCTGCAGCGCACGCAAGGTCCCCCTGCTCAAGAAGAAACATGTACAGGCCCGCATGAAGTTCGCCATTCACCACCTGGACGACTCAGAAGAGGCCTGGAAGAAGGTGATGTGGTCAGATGAGACCAAAATAGAACTTTTTGGCCTCACCTCAACTCGTCGTGTTTGGAGGGCAAAGAACACCGAGTACAACCCAAAGAACACCATCCCCACCGTCAAGCATGGTGGTGGCAACATCATGCTTTGGGGGTGCTTTTCAGCCAAGGGGACGGGACAACTCCATCGTATTGAGGGGAGGATGGACGGGGCCATGTATCGTGGAATTCTGGACCAACATCTCCTTCCCTCAGTGAGAGAGCTGAAGATGGGTCGAGGATGGGTGTTTCAGCACGACAACGACCCTAAGCACACCGCCAAAGCAACAAAAGAGTGGCTGAAGAAGAAGCACATCAAGGTTCTGGAGTGGCCTAGCCAGTCTCCAGACCTGAATCCAATTGAAAATCTTTGGAGGGAGCTTAAAATTTGAGTTGCCAGGCGACAACCTCGGAACCTGAATGATTTGGAGGCTGTCTGCAGGGAGGAGTGGGCCAACATCCCTGCCGAAATGTGCACAAACCTTGTCACCAACTATAAAAACCGTTTGACATCTGTGCTGGCCAATAATGGCTTTTCTACAAAATATTAACATGCTGTTTGTCCAGGGGGTCAAATACTTGTTTTTCCTCATCAGATGGTTATCAATTTTAATAAATTCATATGATGTGATTTTCTGGAATTTTCTTTGGGATTCTGTCTTTCACTGTTAGAATGTACATATGATTAAAATTGTAGATTGTTGCATTCTTTGTAAGTGGGCAAACCTGCAAAATCAGCAAGGGGTCAAATACTTTTTTCCCCCACTGTATGTATCGTGTGTGTGTGTGTGTGTGCATGAGAGAGGGTGAGAGAGAAAGACAGAAGAAGACAGAGACACGTGAGGGTACTGTAAAGAAAAAGATAAATAAGTTTAAAGGAATTTAGTTAGTTTGTTGAAAAGATAACATAAACTAAGCAGAGTACAACCTGTGTAAACCATGCTGCTTTTCAGATATGTACACTTTCATTCCGATTCAAAGCTGTAGGGCTGATCAACAGGTGGATTTCTGGGAAAACTGATATATTTCCAGTAATAATTTTAAAAAGCCTTCAACCGTAGATCTGACATAATACATGTGAGCTGATGAGCTATCCTCAAAACTAATTACAGAAGACCACCAAACAAGGTGCATCTTTTTTTGACAGTGATTTGGTGTTTTTTTTTTTCCTAATTACAGATCTAGTTCTTTAGCATAATCTTAATGTCCTAGCTTATGTTTGAAGTTGTAGTTTTTTCCAGGATTTTAAAACTCCATGGATTAATTGTAGCAGTAGTACTAGCTCAGCTGCCCTCGTTGGTCACGTGATCTTCATCTTGGAGTTTTTAACGGTCCCTGAAGATTTTCTCTCACAGTTACAGACTGACTTGCTACTTCTAACTGCTACTATACCTTCCTACCACAGTACTGCAGTTTGCTGTAGTCACTGTTTTCTGTTCAATGATGGATTAGTAGTGATGGTATGGTTGCACTTACTTTGGTTTGACCTCTAACTAAGAGGTGTCGGCTTGTTTACAATCTGTCTGACCACTGGTGTTTGTCGCTACCACATAATTTAGTGAGTAAAATTTTATCACAACTGATAGCCATAGAATACCCACAGTTCTAAATAAATTAGTATAAACTGAATATATAGTAGCTATAAAAACAGTCACTGGACAATCACAACAACACAAACCCTGATTTGTCTGCACTTTTCAGCTTAACGTTACCCCTCCGTTACACTAGTGAGGTGTACAAAAGTTGTATACAGTCTACAGTAGGTTTGCCACTTTGTCACACAGAAACCAATCAGATAATCATGATTATTTCTTTCCTCATTCTTTTGCTAAACCAGATGAGTGTTACTGCGCTGTGTTACTGTTCACTGCGCAGGACAGGACAAAGTGGAGAAATATCAAACAAAAAAAGACAAGCAAAAGCTCCTCCCTTTTTACACAGAAAACAGGAAGAATTCACAGGAATTCAGAACCTAAAGCTGCTGTGCTGTGGTATTGTATTTGAAAAACAAAGAAAAGGAAGACAATCCAGTGAATAGGACATTTATTTATGTGATAGGTATTTATGAGTGTTTGTTGAAACCGCTTTGAACTAAAAGCACTGAACTTGACCTCTGGTTGAGCAAATACGAGTGAATCTGTGAAAGTGAAAGTAAGTAGGCTGTCTGAGACGAGGAGGAGCAGACAAGCGCGGGAGAAGTCAACAGAATGGCTGCCAACGCATCACAATCTGAAGTGGATTTCACCTGCCCTGTGTGCTGTGACATATTCAAGGATCCCGTTGTCTTGTTGTGCGGCCACAGCTTCTGTAAGTACTGTCTTCAGGAGTGGTGGAGACAGAGTAGACTCCAGACATGCCCAGTCTGTAAGGAAATATTTCCAATGACTCAGCCTCCACGGAATCTGGCACTAAGAAACCTGTCCGACACCTTGAGACGAGAGAGGAGTCAGAGAGCGAATTCAGGATCTAAGGAGATTTGCAGTCTGCATGGTGAGAAACTCAAACTCTTCTGTGTGGATGATCAGCAGCTCATCTGTGTGATTTGCAGGGATGCTCAAAAACATAAGAAACACAAATACATCCCCCTCAGTGAAGCAGCGGAAGCCCATAGGGTGAGCAAGTATATATAGCTTACTTTAGTAAAAATGCCTGAACGTTTTTTTTAATAATTCCTCATATTGCACATACCAGGCAAATGTGTTGTGTAACTAATCCACTGTTTACTATGTTTACATTTATTTGTAGACCAAACTCAAGGTTGAACTGATGCACTTAAAGAGCAAACTGGGGTCATTTAATGCACATAAACTTAACTATGATAAAATGGCCAGCCACATCAAGGTAAGTCACATACATTATGGTTCTTAAGATAGAACCCATCATCTGTCGTCTACCTTCATCAAAATGGTGTTTCTCTTCAGCTCCAGGCTCAGCAGACAGAGAAGACGATCAAAGAAGAGTTTCTGACGCTTTACCAGTTCCTGCGAGCAGAGGAGGCTGCTAGGATTGATGCAGTGAGGAAGGAGTCGGTGCTTAAGAGTGAAGCAATGAACATCAGGATTGTTAATTTGACTGCTGAGATCTCCTCGCTCACACACAAAACTGAAACCATAGAGCGGGAGATGAAAGCTGAAGACTTCTCATTTATGCTGGTACTCAGTGATTAGCTGTGTTAATTAATATTCTGATCTTAACATTGAATATACAACACAATTAATGGTAGTGATATTTTATCCTTTTGTCTTTTTGTTTTACAGAATGTCAAATCCACTATGAAGCGGTAAGTTGCTTCCTGTACACTAAAATACTCCACACTACCAGTGTGGGGTATTTAAAATATTTAACTGGTAATCTGTGGTTGTATAATGTTCTTTCAGATCCCAATGCACCCTGCCAGAACCAGAGACCCCTTCAGGAGCCCTGATCGACGAGGCGAAACACCTTGGGAATGTGCTGTTCACAGTCTGGCTGAAGATGAAGAATATAGTCCAATACAGTAAGCAAAGTGTTTCTGTTTCACCATATTTTTATTTTAATCTGCTGTGACATGTACAGCTAACTGATGAACTTCATCATCACAGCAGCACCAAGTTGTTTTCTAATTACACTATAATGCCTTCAGTAAAGCTGCTACCTTTACTTTAATAAACGTCTCAATAGACTTTCCCATTACTTTTCTATTTTTTCTTTGAAGCTCCTGTAATTCTGGACCCCAACACTGGCTACTCGCTATTGGCCATATCAGAACACCTGACTCGTTCAACCAAAAGAGACAAAAGTCAGCAGCTTCCTTATAACCCAGAAAGGAGTAGAGGTGAAGGCGTTGCTGGCTCTGAAGGCTTTAGCTCTGGAAAACACAGCTGGGATGTGGAGGTGGGGGGTTATTGGGCTGTTGGTGTGGCTGCTACTGGTGCTGATGCTGACATTTACAGAGGTAGAAAGTTCTGGGGCATCTACATGTGTAGTTGCACTGACATTCTGCGTGAGCATACTCCATACGAATATATGAAAATTGTATCTGAAGATTTGTTTCCCCACAAGGTCAGAGTGCAGCTAGATTATGACAAAGGAATTCTGTCATTCTTTGACCTTGATAGGAAGACACTTGTACACACCATCAAATACACTTTCACAGAAATGGTCTTTCCCTGTTTTAAAGACAATGCAAAAATCCTTCCAGCTGAATTGTCAGTCAGGGTAAGACAACCCAGATAAACATTTAGCAACAACAAGAGGCGGCCTTGAAACAGCCTTATTTTGGGGCTTTATGGGTTAAAAATACCACCTATCTTGGCAAATCCTGGACTTGTTACCAAATTAAGAATGTGTGTTATGATTACTTTATACATTTTTTAAAGTGTTGTCAGCTAACATGCAGGCTTCTAGATCCTAATGAATGATGCTATTTATTTGCATTGTGGGAAATGTTAGATTCAGTGCTTTTGCAGGATGACCCTTCTTATTTTAATCGAACTCTTGTGAGCAGCCTAACTTTATGGAAATACAATACCAAATCAAATTCATTGAATGTTTTAAATGATTTACAGTAGAGCTGTGTATCTGTTTTAATTTTTTATTCTCATTTAATTTTATGATGTACTGTAAAATACATTTATCAATGGTATGATTATAAATCAGCTGTTTTTACAAAATGTAATTGTAGTTTAAATAACTGTACACAATCTTGAACAGTGTCATCGCCAGAGATGCTCACAAGTCTTTGAGCTAGAGTCCAGGTCAAATCTCAATTCTTTGAGCAAGAGTCCAAGTCAAGTCTCAAATCTTTGAGCTAGAGTCCAGGTCAAGTCTCAAGTCTTTGAGCAAGAGTCCAGGTCAAGTCTCTTGCAGTTATAATGAATGTTGTATCACCTGCTGCGTTCAATCCAGGCTGCTTATAAAACTGCATAGCTATAAGGAATTCTGTAACTGTAATCTGTTTTTCACTTACAGAGCACAACCATGTATTGTGCAATGCAATTAATGACAGCTTATTAACAACTGTAAGTCAACAAACCCCCCAGACTGTTAAACCCACTGTAAAATTAACTAAATAAAACTGTAACATTACGTGATCAACAATAAACCTGTAACCTGTTTGCAGCAAACGGTAGCCAGTGGGACGTAAATGATTACGTTAATCCACCACCACAAGTTTGGCAAGTAAACAAACGCTCATTCATCTTTTCATAACGAGCGACAGTCGGACCTCCTGTAGCTCGTAGCTAAAGCAAGAAGCAAGTTAGAAGGCCAATGCTGAGCAAACTTCTTGTATGAAGTTTTAAAGCCAAAGTTTATGGTGAATGGCACAGCAGCTGCCAGTGTTTGTTGTCCTCTCTCACATGTGGCCACGCGCAGGTATTGGTAATGCAGGGAGGGGAATAACAGCAAGCTCATCAGACGTTTCCTAAAAATAAACATTGTTCACGAGTCCCACACCTCGAGTCCGAGTCAAGTCTGAAGTCTTTTAAGGACGAGTCTCAAGTCGGGTCTGAAATCACTGTGTGTGCGACTTTAGTCAGACTTGAGTCTGAGTCTCAAACTCGAGTCCCCATCTCTAGTCATCGCTGCAATTAGTAAATCATGCAGTTCTAGCACAATACTGCCCCAATTCGTTTGGAGCATGTGGCCAGGAATTATACATTGTACTTTTAAGGATAAGCAGGTGTGGCTAAATGATGGATGGATGTTTTTAAGGCTAATGAAATAGATGTTTAGAGTTTAATTGGGCATTTGATCTCTATATTATATTATACTGCACATAATATTTGATATATAGCCTGGAGCTATAATATAAAGTTTTAGGGTTAGGGTTAGAGATTTTTATTGTCTGAACTGAAGGTCTAAGGTTAGAGGGTGGACAGATTGAACCCCCCCTTTGAGGCAAATGAGTGATTTTTCAGTGGAAATGACTTAACTTGTACATGTTTTAATATCAGTCAAAATGTCAAGTTAAATGTATTTTAGTTGATTTCTAACAGAGCTCTAGTTGTTTTTTTTAGTTACATATCAGTTTAACTACTGTACAATGATTAAATAGTCATAGTTAGCTGATGCTAGCTCTTCTGGTGACTGTGGTTGACAAAAAAGGTAAAAATTTAAAAATAAACAAAAATGCACCTCTCAGGTGGTCTGAATGTCTTAATTAGGAATCTCCTGTATTCCCACAATGCCCCTGTCTGATACTGCCTACATGCATGCATATCGCAGGAATGAATCATAATGAGGCATTGCCTAATGTCTCTAGTGTACTGCCATCTCTCTCTCTCTCTCTCTCTCTCTCTCTGTCGCAGCTGACACACTCACACATATGAGTCTGGATCCCCACACTGACACTAAATCTCAGTGGTATTACAGCTGGAATGCCTGCTATGTTTTTTCAACTAATGAAAGAATGAAGAAAAACAAACAGAGGGGCCAAATTAAAAGAGGAAAAAAGGATTGAGAGAAGAAAACACACTGAAAGAGAAAAGGAAATAGAGAGAGAAAATGTCTCTCATTCAATTTGTATTCCTCTGCATGTTGTACATGATGAGTGTTTCTGAGTCCAGTTTTCTCAGGCCTAATGAAGGTTGGAGATCAGGTACTGACTGACACAACATTTGCTCAAATGTGGTCAAGATGTGGAATATTTTCCGCCCAATTACACAAGATAAATTTCAAACTTTATAAGTCTCTGATTAGGGAAAGCTGGAAGAGAAAGGGTGTCGGCTTGAATGATTACTCATCCATAAATCTAATTAGGCAAAGTGTTCCTAGCAAGTTTGGCATTCAGAATTGGACATTTAGATGTTTTCATACCCAAATCCAAAATTTTCATTCAAGAATGTAGAGGACTTTGGCTGCTTGACATAAATGCGTCATGTTATAAGTAGGCATCTATATAGGGTTCACAGCTTTTAAGAGAAAAGTGATCCCTAGTGTGCTATCTAGAATGCAACTGAGCAATGATGTGGCAGATTTCACATTCTGGGAAAAAAGCTTCTAATTTGCTATTTTATTTTTTACTTTTCTCTCCACAAATCATCATTCTTCCTGTACAAACCATTACTTTAGCTCAAAGGAATGACTGCAAACCAGCGTGTCCAACTCTTTTTTCTCACAAAATCCCCTTTGAATGATCAATCATTCGATGTTGACCAGAGAACACCAAGGAGCCACTGAGTAGAATACGTCAGATGTTATTTTACCAAAAGTCTAATTTTTCTACTAATCAGATGAACTAAACACATTAATCTGAGGCATTTCAAAGCACTGGGCATTGTTTTTGTAACCACGGGGAAATTAGTTGTGTCCCAAAACATTACAAAGAGAATCAATCATTGATTTAACATCATTGATTTTAATCTCATGAACCAAAAGGCATAATAGTAAAGCTGTGAGAGACAATGACGCTGAAAATGAATGAATCAGGATAGGGAGATCAAAGGCGGGCCATCTCCTGGCGATCAGATTGACAACACGGCTCTGAACTGGAGCCAAAACAGTAAGCAGATATCAAGTTAAGACACAATTAGAAAGAATACAAGAGAGACAAACAGAGAGACGAGAGAGATGTGCCAATGGCCCGAAGGTTTGAGACAGAAGACATGCAGTAACTCTGTCTGTCTGGACCAGCACCTACATAGTTACTTGGCTTGGCTTCTGAGGAGAGGACAGTGGACAGTGTGTGTGTGTGTGTGTGTGTGTGTGTGTGTGTGTGTGTGTGTGTGTGTGTGTGTGTGTGTGTGTGTGTGTGTGTGTGTGTGTTGGGGTGCTGAGGAAAGATTTGCAAATATAGAAAGATGAATGACTGGCTGGAGGATAGCTGTATGTTACAGAATGGTAAGCATGAGAATGTAATCACAAAGGAGTACAACATACTGTATGGGCACACCATAATTATTGCCTAAATTATTACAGTGTACATAATGTAATGTATACATACAAGAGCACACGCATGGAAACACACATGTGCACTTTTATGTGGTTGTTTTTCCATCTGCTCCTTGTTTTCAGGTCCCCTTTGGTCACTTTTTGCTCATGTTATTGTGGTCTGGATATTTTCAAGAAACAGACAGAGTATAGGATGTTGTCATTTCTCTCTCTCTCTCTCTCTCTCTCCGTCTCTCTTTCTATCTTGAAGGGTTTATTGTTTTGTTTGGCATTTATGTTGCGTTTGGAGGCAATCATTGAAGAATCTGAGCAGCACGTGTCCTTAGCAATCATAATCATGAAATCCCTACTGGTCTCACACACACATACACACACACACACACACACACACACACACACACACAGGCCTGATTGCTAGTCAGTCTGGTCTGTTTAATGTTATAGATGCAGATTGAATGTGTCAGTCAGGACCTCACAGGAGGATATTGGGAGAGATGGAAGGAAAGAAGGAGGAAAGGAAGAAAGAAAAAGGAAGTTTGCTTTTTAGTGATGAATGGTGTACAAGGTTAAAATGTGTTTGAGTAAAATGAAGGTGGATTTCAAAGACAGGTTAGACAGTTAAGACTCCCTCTGCCTCTCTCTAACACACACACACACACACACACACACACACACACACACACACACACACTTTCACTGGCCAGTCTAAATGGTCAAGTGCTGTGATAAAGTGCTGTCTAGTGTTCTCTCACTCTCTAAGCCCCCTGAGAGTAGATCAATAATCACTCAGTATCAAGTTACCGCTAATGTCCTCATGTTTTTAACCAGGCAGTGTGTGTGTGTGTGTGTGTGTGTGTGTGTGCATCTGCCCCTAGTGTGACCCAAGCTATAATTATCATTAAATGTCAATGAAGGCGATAAGAAGAGCTAGACTGCTGATAAATCCCAAAGCCCTGACTCACAGCGCCTCCTAAGGACACTTATTAGAAACTGCAGCTGCAGTAAAGGATGCATTTGCTTGTGTGAGAGATAAGAAGATAACTTAAGGGTGTGAAAAAACTATGACCTTACGTGCATGAATCACTACTTTACTGAGAATAAGGCCTTCACGTCATAACCCCCACTCACCCCTTCCATGTATCTGCCTCCGTTCAGCTACTATTTCACATCTACAATTATGTTGCTGAGTCATACAGGATAGTTAACACATTAATAATATATGTCTGTCCTGCTGAATCAACAGGTATACATTAACTTGAATAGATACTCTAGATAGTGATCAGTGTGGTTAGAGGTTTGCAGGATTTGAAAATGTTTGTGAGTCACATAAATGCCAGCACTGAGTTAAAGGAACATTCAGTTTTATTATAACTTGGCTCTTATTTTCATAGTTTTGGCCATCATTTCTATGTGTTATGACAACGTTGCGCTCACCAAAGTAACTGTCCAGATCTGGGCAATGAAGTTTGAGGGAGGAGGGCAAGCAACACGAGCAGTCTGTCAGTCAGCCAGGTTGTGAACAAAGCAATGGCAGATTATCCAAGCTACTTTCTTTGGTGGTAAAACCAAAAATGAGCACAGTCAAAATGTGGGTAATAATCCTTCATTACACAGGAAAGCTACAATATTGTAAGTGTGGTAATCCAATCCAATCCACTTTATTTATATAGTAAGTCAACAACAACAACAACTTCAGGGGTTTGGGATACTAAATGAGGTTGGTTTAAATTAGGTTTGATTAAATATCATCACAGTA